CTATGCCACACACTCTCATAAAGGGAAATCATTGCACCCTTCTAATGAGGAAATGGTCATTTCAACACATCTCAGTACCTTGTATAAATTTGGAGCTTAAGGTATGTTTTCATTTAGCTGTAAGTGGTTGGTTAATATTAAATTATCATGTGTTTTCACATCAGCATAAATATTGTCATGGTGTTACAGAAGCAACTGTCAAATGAGCAGATAGCTTACATTGGTGTTTTTAGAAGTCTTTGTATTTTATGCTTCATTTGCATAATGTTAAGTGCTAATAAATGTATGCCAAGTCGCCTAAGTGAAGGGGCAGTCCATCACACCTAAGGCATCTAAGGGCAGATTACATGTCACTTGGGTCCTGCTTACAAATGACCAGCCAAATGGCCAGTTTTCTTCAGTAAAATCTAGTTGTTGAAATGTAAGCCTTCCTGTGAAGATTATATCAATAGCCATCCCTAAGACTTAGAGAGGTCCCTTGTGGTTCCCTAAAGGTTCATTGAAGTCAGAGGGAAAAGGAAAAAAATTACTACAACTTGTATTAATGCCTTTTATTATTACTGATCACATTAGAGCCACTGAGATGTCCAAAATCATATCAAAATAAAGACGTAGGTTGCTCCTATATGAAGCTCAAACTTTATTATCATAAACAAGTGAGATATTAAAAGGGTGAAAATTTGTTGTAACTATTCATCAGTGATCCTAATGAAATTTAGTTCTTTCCCTTGGCCTGGTTGGTAGCCAGCTTTTTCTAAACGCTTTCCTGCTATGATTTTTGAAGGCAAAATACACAGAGCATAGTTCAGTAAAAGAATCCTCAAACCTTTTCATTGAGGCATTTACATTTTGATTCTGTTGCTGTTTGAAATAGAACATCCACAGGGAGATAATGGGCTTAAATTACAATTGACTTTGGAAAGAATAACAGATTTTGTGCTTCCTCAATCATGTAATCAATAGGGAATTCTCTACTTATGTGAACTACCACTATCTTTTAAGACAATGCTGAGCTCTAGATGCAAAATCTGTCTTTCAGGAGCTTTTTAAGAATTCAAGGATGTCTCTGAAGAACTTCACTAGAGATGGATTACACCAGTTTACAAATGCAGTTTTCAACTGTGACAAATCAAAGTGATCTGATCTCAGTTCATTTTTCTAAGCTGTGCCCATAGGACTTTGAGATATTGAGCAATTTTGTCTACATTATTTTTAACATCTATAGGTATTTGTGGATGTGTGAATAGTGTCTGAATTTCTCATCTTTTGGCTAGTTTGGGTTTGTCATGAACACAGCTTTTTAGTAAGACCAGCTTTCATAGCATCATGAAGTAGAAATCTTCATGCCCTAAAGATTCAGGGAGACCAACATAAGGGAAATTCTCCCAGAACATGGGGTAGTCTTGCCTATCTCATCCCTCTCTAGATTATAAAATCTCTGAGAAAGGGCTGTGATGACCTTGTGGACTGCTGTCTCCTAGCATCTGGAAACATGCCCAGCACAGTAGAGGCACTCAGTTAATACTTACTGAATGAATAAACAATTACATAAATGAATGAAATTAAATAAATCAGTTTTACCTTCCAATAATTTGAAAAAATTCACCAATTTATTTTATACTGATGGGCATTATAACTTCTGAATTACATAATTAGAACTAGAATTGACTCTATACTTTTTAGATATATGAATTTGAAATCAATTACTTCAAAGGGTTCAAGGGTTTGAGGACACTTAGATAGGCATGTTTGTATATTCAGAGTTTTTATAATGAATAAAACTCAACCTTTCTTGTTATTTATGAAAGCTCCCTGAGTTATGATCCATACATGAAACTCCATTTGTAAACTTTGTAAAATATAATATTTTAACTTTAAAAAAAGAAAATTTAAATTATCAAGCATGTTATTAATAATATGTCCTTCAGTGTCCATTAACAACTCTTCTCTAAGTCAATTCATTGTGATTAGAGACGCCATCTCTAAATCTTCTGCTTTCAAAAAACTCACTTTTCCTTTCTCATTTGATTCTTAGAATATATCTGAGCTAAAGATTAATCACATAGCAATTAAGACTTTTCAATGTGTTTATTCATCTAACAGACATTTATTGTGTACCTACTATATGCTAGGTTTGGGATATAAAATGGCAAACAAGACACATATAGCCACCCCTTAGAGTTTGCTGTGAGGAACTCAACACTTGCTCTAGCAATTAACTAGAGTTTACCGTCTCATGGGGCCTTCTTCACAGCTGATAGGAGAAATGAAATCCCTTATGCCATGGAAATCATAAAAGGCTCTCTGCACATATTTATGTAAGCTTGCTTTTCTAAAATACCACACAAATATGCTGCTCAAGGAATCCAAAACCATAGTTATAGACGCCCATGAGGTAGGTAATAATTTACTCATAACTAACACATAGCTCTTACTAAGTTCTGTGCTCAGGACATTCATAGACTATATCACTGGATCCCTTCAACAACTCTTTTTAGTAGGTTCCATTTTATGGACAAGAAAACTGAAGCACAGGTATGTGACCTGTCCAAGGTCACACAGCAGATGGAACTGGGATTTGAACCCACACAGTGTAACACAAGAGCTCATATGTCTTCGCATTTTCTGTGGCTTGGGGGATACCATTACATTAAAATAAATGTGTCACTGTATATAAAAAGTACTTTGAAATTGTAAAGTAGTACACAATGAGATATTAGTAAAGTGTGACTGGCAAACCACATCAGTGGCAGAAAGAGAGTGGGAACTCAATCTTATGTTGCAGCTTACTCATGAAGAATACATCAAGCCAGGGAAATGGATAAACACAGATTCAGACAATTTCTGACATGCGATAAATATTTCAATGACTTTTCCGAGTTATTTATTGTTAGCCACTGTGTCTATCTGGTGCTACAAAAAAACCTGAAAGAGACAAAATCCCTTGCTATAAGGGCTTATAATAAATACACAGTGTGGAGATGAGTCAAGGATATTTCACATTTATGGGGAACGATTGGGCGATAGTAATACTGTTTTCTCACCATTGCATGTGACTGTGTCTTTCTAATTGTTTTCATTATTTTTCTGAAAGAGCTGCAAAATTGTGCAGTGGTTCAACCTGACCAAAGTGGTATTATGCTGCTGGGAAGTAAAAGTACTAGATACCAGATTGGAAGTAGTGTCTTCATTATCAAAATTAAGTTCTTTTAAAGCATGAATATAGAGGGACTTTTAAATGCTCCAGGCACCTGATTATTTGGATGTTAAGTTTTTCATGTTTCTCCTTTCCAGACCACACTGTGAGATCATGCTACTGAGGGGTTAGGTTCTAAAACCAATATGAAAGGCAAAAATTGAGATTGGGCTAACATTATTACCACAATCACGTAGATCAGTGTTCCTACTTGTAGAGGTGAGCAAGAACTGACACCTTTGGGAACAGTAAACTCGCAGCTCCCATCTCATTCATCAACAAAGAGGAATCATATTCATTATTTAAATTTGTTCTCTCTCTGGCTCCTCCCAGTTAAATAAGCATGTGATGCAACTTAAATGCTGGTTCATATTTGTGGAAGCAAGGAGTCTTCTCATGAAAACTTTTTATTATCTCCTCATTCTTTCCTACAACCAACTAATTACTCCTTTAAATAATTAAAATTTTGGACAGTTTAACATCACATGTAATATAGCACTAAGGAAACTCATAAGCCTTTTGTCCAAAGCCATACTTTATTTCTGCTTCTCTTGACACCTTCATTTTTACTGGAGATACTACTATTCTCTGTACAGATTTACTGATCTTTCTTATTTGTCATTCACATCAGTTCTTAGATTCTTTAGATTTTTACTTCGAAAAAGTCTCCAACTGTCTTCTCTCACACATTTTTCTTATATTCCTACCTGTGAATAGAAACAGTACTTCTTACTATGACTTTTGTGAGCTTTAAACTGTTTTCCCAATTATCATGCATACCCATATATATTTCTATATATCTTGATGCTTGATAACTCCCCCTGCATTTATTCATTTGCTCAAAATCCTTCAAGGGGCCCCTCAAAAAAAAAAAATGTAAGATTTCTACTCAAGGCTCTTTAAACCAAAATACTAACATGATGATGGAAAAGAACTTTATAGTATCCTCCCCTCACAAAGGCAAAACATAGAACATGAAATGTGATGGTATGGAAATCTGGTACATGGTCTATGAAATACCGTCATGGGGTTCTATGACAATGAAAAATATTGCAAGTTTTTCTTCATGATGAAATTAAATGCAATGAGAGACTACCAGTGTTCTGTGGTGAAGATACAGGACTATATTGGATTGTGACCTAAAAATTCCAAATATTTGCTTGTGGTGGTGATGGTAGTGTGTGTGTGTGTGTGTGTGTGTGTGTGAGATAGAAAGTGCAGTGTTAGGCTAAGATGCTAACATTTGTTCAGTTGCTAAGTCATGTCTGACTTTCTTCGACCCCATGGACTATAGCACGGCAGGCTTCACAGTGTTCTCCAGGCAAGAATACTGGAGTGGGTTGCCGTTTCCTTCTCCAGGGAATCTTCCTGGATCAGGGGTCAAAGCCATGTCTCCTGCATTGGCAGGCTGATTCTTTACCACTCAGCCACTAAGTAAGCCCTATGCTAACTTTTTTTTTTGAAAGTCGCTCAGTCATGTCTGACTCTTAGCAATAATTCTCCAGGCCAGAATACTGGAGTGGGTAGCCTTTCCCTTCTCCAGGGGATCTTCCCAACCCAGGGATTGAACCCGGATCTCTCACATTGCAGGTGGATTCTTTACCAGCTGAGCCACAAGGGAAGCCCAAGAATACTGAAGTGGGTAGCCTATCCCTTCTCCAGCAGATCTTCCTGACCCAGGAAGGATTCTTTACCAACCGAGGTATGAGGGAAGCCCCATGCTGCAAGACAGAATGGGTAAAAGTGCTATCTAGTTGGGAAATACACGTCTCAAACCATACTTGGGCCTAATGCATGGTTTGAGATGTGTATTTCCCCACTATATAGCACTGTTTTTACCCATTCTGTCTTTCCATCTAAGTTGACCACTACCTATTCCTGCAAACTTCTGAACGTTTCTTCCCCTGAGCTTTTGATTTTTCTGAAATGCCTCTCCTTCCCCTGGAAAAAAAAAAAAAAATCCTCAATTTTTATGGCCCGTTTCAGATGGTGCTTCTTCCAAGAGGCTTTTTCTGATTTTTCCAGGTCTGATGTTATCTTCTCCATTAAATCTCATTGTGGTATCTGCACCCCTCCTCCCTCCTTAGTGATTTTCTTTGCTTGTCTTGTGTATATCCAGTTGTGTCTTTATCATCTTGATTTTGGAGAAGGCAGTGGCACATCACTCTTCTTGCCTGGAGAATCCCATGGACAGAGGAGCCTGGTGGGCTACAGTCCATCGGGTTGCTAAGAGTCGGACATGATTGAGCAACTTCACTTTCACTTTTCACTTTCATGCACTGGAGAAGGAAGAAACTCCAGTGTTCTTGCCTGGAGAATCCCAGGAATGGAGGAGCCTGGTGGGCTGCCGTCTATGGGGTCGCACAGAGTCGGACATGACTGAAGCGACTTAGCAGCAGCAGCAGCATCTTGATTTTCCCTGAAATTAGTAATTATATATGGCATGGGTGCGTAATATGTCATAAAAGAACTTACCTTTCACTTGTCAACTTCACAGAGTGACTTCCAGATTATTTGGGGGCCTTATCTCAATTCTCAGTAGCTCACTCATGAAGTACATGTGAACTGAGAACTCAACACCAGAACTTTTAAAGGGAAAAAATCTTAATTATTGAGAAATTTTTATTTTTAAAAAATAGAACATAAATATAAAAGCAGAGACATCACTTTGCCAACCATCACTAAAGGTCTGTATAGTCAAAACTATGGTTTTCCCAGTAGTATGTACAGATGTGAGAATTGGACCATAAAGAATACTGAGCACTGAAGAATTGATGCTTTCAAATTGTGGTGCTGGAGAAGACTTTTGAGAGTCCCCTGGACTGCAAAGGGATCAAACCAGTAAATTCTAAAGGAAATCAACCCTGAATATTCTTTGGAAGGACTGATGCTGAAGCTTTACCTGATGCTGATACTGGCCACCTGATGCAAACAACCAACTCATTGGAAAAAACCCTGAATCTGGAGGTTGATGTAAACAATGTAGATGACCATCACCACCACCACCCCCTCTGCACATGTACACAGAGATGTACTGCTGGTTTATCCCCACATATTTGGTTGCTTATTCCATGGGAGAAATGATGAAGGGTAAAACAAGGTTTCAAGTCAATAGCCAAACAAGATGGGCACCATGGTACCACTTCCAACTGGATACTAGTCCTATATTAATGGTCCTCTCCATGGCTGCTCTCCAAAGGAACACAGAACTACCTACTCTTCGTCAGTCCTTCCTACCTCCAAACTCCCCCAAATCACTGCATTTGGAATGGGGGTTTGGGAGAACAATTACTATTGTCTCAACTGCTTTAGCTTACCCTGAAAAATAAAAATTAATCAAAATCATAACATTTCACTAGTGTTAGTCACATATTGTGGTGGTGGTGGTTTTTTTTTTTTTTTTTTTTGGTGTAGCCAGCACAAAATTTTATCTGTGTGTGACATTTATATAACAATATGTTCAACTTTTAACTTAAATATGATATTTATTTAATCCCTCCCTCCCAACTCCAAAGGAAAAAGAAAACCCACAGCATCCTAAAGGAAAATTCCCACAGTAAGAACTGCACTTCTTTTTTTTTTCTTTCTTTATGTTAGACTGATTACAAACAGAACTTCAAGAAATATCCTACATGAATACAATTTCAAATTTCAAAGAGTTTAATTGCTACCTGTGCAATAAATCTTGCTTCCTATGGGCTTTTTGTTCGTTAACTGTATTGTTGTATCTAAAAGAGCTGTAAGAGTGAGAGGCTAATAGCTGCCACAGGAGACCCTTACCGGGTCTATACCTGAGTTTTTCATAGCACAACGTTTCCAGCATCTGGTCCTCAGCTTTGCAGACCCAGGCTCATTTTTTTTTTTTTCCCTAGGAAATCTAGGGACAGTCTCAGCTAACATCTGTCTTCTCAGAATAATTACTAATAGCACCCCCTTTAACTCTCAGAAATGCCCCAATTTAGACAACACAAGATGTTGTCAACCTACTCAGAAATGATAAAGCCCTAGAATGATGATACTTCTTAACCTTCTTCAATTCACAGATTGATTGGGAGGATTCTATTTCATTGCAAGTAAACAAAACCAGATTCAATAGAGCTTGAGTGAAAAAGGAATTGACTGCTGGCAAAGCAGGTCGGGTCTGAGGTCTCACTGTTGACGGAATTCTCGCCTCTTCTCAGCTCTTTCCTAATCTCTGCTTGTCCCTCTCTCTCTCTCTTTATTTATTTATTTATTTATTTTTATTAGTTGGAGGCTAATTACTTTACAATATTGTAGTGGTTTTTGCCATACATTGACATGAATCAGCCATGGATTTACATGTATTCCCCATCCCGATCCCCCCTCCCACCTCCCTCCCCACCTGATCCCTCTGGGTCTTCCCAGTGGACCAGGCCCGAGCACTTGTCTCATGCATCCAACCTGGGCTAGTCATCTGTTTCACCCTTGATAATATACATATTTCGATGCTGTTCTCTCGAAACATCCCACCCTCGCCTTCTCCCACAGAGTCCAAAAGTCTGTTCTGTACATCTGTGTCTCTTTTTCTGTTTTGCATATAGGGTTATCATTACCATCTTTCTAAATTCCATATTATGTGTTAGTATGCTGTAATGTTCTTTATCTTTCTGGCTTACTTCACTCTGTATAATGGGCTCCTTTCATCCATCTCATTAGGACTGATTCAAATGAATTCTTTTTAATGGCTGAGTAATATTCCATGGTGTATATGTACCACAGCTTCCTTATCCATTCGTCTGCTGATGGGCATCTAGGTTGCTTCCATGTCCTGGCTATTATAAACAGTGCTGCGATGAACATTGGGGTGCACGTGTCTCTTTCAGATCTGGTTTCCTCGGTGTATATGCCCAGAAGTGGGATTGCTGGGTCATATGGCAGTTCTATTTCCAGTTTTTTAAGAAATCTCCACACTGTTTTCCATAGTGGCTGTACTAGTTTGCATTCCCATGAACAGTGTAAGAGGGTTCCCTTTTCTCCACACCCTCTCCAGCAATTATTGCTTGTAGACTTTTGGATAGCAGCCATCCTGACTGGTGTGTAATGGTACCTCATTGTGGTTTTGATTTGCATTTCTCTGATAATGAGTGATGTTGAGCATCTTTTCATGTGTTTGTTAGCCATCTGTATGTCTTCTTTGGAGAAATGTCTGTTTAGATCTTTGGCCCATTTTTTGATTGGGTCATTTATTTTTCTGGAATTGAGGTGCAGGAGTTGCTTGTATATTTTTGAGATTAATCCTTTGTCTGTTGCTTCATTTGCTATTATTTTCTCCCAATCTGAGGGCTGTCTTTTCACCTTGCTGATAGTTTCCTTTGTTGTGCAAAAGCTTTTAAGTTTCATTAGGTCCCATTTGTTTATTTTTGCTTTTATTTCCAATATTCTGGGAGGTGGGTCATAGAGGATCCTGCTGTGATTTATGTCAGAGAGTGTTTTGCCTATGTTCTCCTCTAGGAGTTTTATAGTTTCTGTTCTTACATTTAGATCTTTAATCCATTTTGAGTTTATTTTTTTGTATGGTGTTAGAAAGTGGTCTAGTTTCATTCTTTTACAAGTGGTTGACCAGTTTTCCCAGCACCACTTGATAAAGAGGTTGTGTTTTTTCCATTGTATATCCTTGCCTCCTTTGTCGAAGATAAGGCGTCCATAGGTTCATGGATTTATCTCTGGGCTTTCTATTCTGTTTCATTGATCTATATTTCTGTCTTTGTGCCAGTACCATACTGTCTTGATGACTGTGGCTTTGTAGTATAGTCTGAAGTCAGGCAGGTTGATTCCTCCAAGTGTCCATAATCAGTTGCCCATCAGCTCAGTAGCTTAGCTTCTAGGTTGGTTGACTCCCAACTGAGGTGCCTCAGCAGTTCTCCATATGGTGTCTTATCCTCCAGCAGGATAGGCTGGGCCTGACAAAGGGAAAGAAATCAAGAAATAGCAGGGAGGTGGCAGGGGGTTCAGGATGGGGAACACATGCACACCCATGGTTGGTTCATGTGAATGTATGGCAAAGCCCACCACAATATTGTAAAGTAATTAGCCTCCAAGTAAAATAAATTTTAAAAAGTGTAAAAAAACAAAAGAGCAAAAGTCCACAAAGCCTTTTTTGAGAGTTAGAATCAGACTGACACAATGTCACCTCCACTATATTCTTCCGACAAAAGCAAGTCACAAGACCATCCCACATTGAAGGATTAGGGGTGAACTCTGTCTTTTGAAAAGAGAAGTTCATTGCAAAGGGCATGCATACACAGAGGGACAGAAAACTGAGCCATTTTTGCAGTCAATCCACAAGTACTTTCACTGAAATAAGATGATTGGAAATGCATCCTCAGTAGACAGTTAACAGGTAACATTAAGTGCTTACCATGTTCCAAGTACTATTCTAAGAGCTTCATGGATGTTAGCACATTTTAATCCTTGCAAAGTCTTTCATTTCAGAGAAATAGACTGCCTGCATATGGAAGTCTGGATGTGGTTTCCTTACTTACTAGAAAAGGAAGCAGCTGAGTTCAAGGTCAGGAATTTTCTGGACTCTGGGTTGCTGTCCCTCATCAGAAGTCAGACTACTCTTCATAGCCGCTGCTTGGGTTCCCAGCTGCCTGTATAGAAAGCAACAGCTAACAGGATGATGTATCAGTCAGGGTTCTCCAGAGAAACAGAGCCAATAATATAGATGTATACAAGAGGAGACTTCTTATACAAATTGTCTCCTGTGACTATGGAGGCTGAGAAGTTGCATGATTGTCCATCTGCAAACTGGAGAACCAGGAGCACCTGTGTTAGACGCCAGGCGAAGACAGATGTCCCAGTTCAAGCTGAGTAAATTCACCCTTCCTCTGCCTTTTTGTTCTACTCTGGCCCTGAATGGATGGGATGGCTACCCACCTGCACAGGTGAGCGTGATAATTGCTTGGTTTGCTGATCCCAGTGCTAACGCCTTCCAGAAACACCCTCACAGACACACCAGGAAACATTTTAGCAGGTCTCTGGGAACTGCTTAGTCCAGTCAAGTTGACACATAAAATTAATCATCATAGGTGGTTTCAACCTTTCCTTCTCAAACAGAATGCAATCCACGAAGGCAGATATAATAGGATGTTGAGAGAATTTGGTTTTCTGTTGGCTAGAATTATGGCTAAAGTCCAAAGCTGAAACAAGAAATTTACCATAGATTCCCATAATTTAAAGAAAACCTTGGCCTTGTAAGAGGTAGTA